CTACCTTCTTACTAAAACGATGAAATTTCAAAATTTTGTTTGTTGAGATTTTGTGTCCTAATGGTCCTTTGGGATCCCCCAAACTCCATACACTAAATTATTCTGAGATTTGAAGCCAAAATCTATAAAAAAAGGCACTCAGAATATTGAAAAATTGATAAATTCACCCCAAGTTGCTTAACGCGATTTTATTTCTGGAACTATAAGTCCAAATGAGCTGAAATTTTCAGGGATTGTAGTCCTCCACTAGAGTAAGAATCGCTGAAAATTTCAGCTTTCTATCTATAATAGAAAAAAAGTTATGGGTCTTCAAAGTTTTTGAAAATCCAAATCATAAGGTAGCTACCTTCTTACTAAAACGATGAAATTTCAAAATTTTGTTTGTTGAGATTTTGTGTCCTAATGGTCCTTTGGGATCCCCCAAACTCCATACACTAAATTATTCTGAGATTTGAAGCCAAAATCTATAAAAAAAGGCACTCAGAATATTGAAAAATTGATAAATTCACCCCAAGTTGCTTAACGCGATTTTATTTCTGGAACTATAAGTCCAAATGAGCTGAAATTTTCAGGGATTGTAGTCCTCCACTAGAGTAAGAATCGCTGAAAATTTCAGCTTTCTATCTATAATAGAAAAAAAGTTATGGGTCTTCAAAGTTTTTGAAAATCCAAATCATAAGGTAGCTACCTTATCTTACTAAAACGATGAAATTTCAAAATTTTGTTTGTTGAGATTTTGTGTCCTAATGGTCCTTTGGGATCCCCCAAACTCCATACATTAAATTATTCCCACATTTGAAGCCAAAATCTATAAAAAAATGCACTCAGAATATTGAAAAATTGATAAATTTACCCCAAATTGCTTAACGCGATTTTATTTCTGGAACTATAAGTCCAAATGAGCTGAAATTTTCAGGGATTGTAGTCCTTCACTAGAATAAGAATCGCTGAAAATTTCAGCTTTCTATCTATAATAGAAAAAAAGTTATGGGTCTTCAAAGTTTTTGAAAATCCAAATCATAAGGTAGCTACCTTCTTACTAAAACGATGAAATTTCAAAATTTTGTTTGTTGAGATTTTGTGTCCTAATGGTCCTTTGGGATCCCCCAAACTCCATACACTAAATTATTCTGAGATTTGAAGCCAAAATCTATAAAAAAAGGCACTCAGAATATTGAAAAATTGATAAATTCACCCCAAGTTGCTTAACGCGATTTTATTTCTGGAACTATAAGTCCAAATGAGCTGAAATTTTCAGGGATTGTAGTCCTCCACTAGAGTAAGAATCGCTGAAAATTTCAGCTTTCTATCTATAATAGAAAAAAAGTTATGGGTCTTCAAAGTTTTTGAAAATCCAAATCATAAGGTAGCTACCTTCTTACTAAAACGATGAAATTTCAAAATTTTGTTTGTTGAGATTTTGTGTCCTAATGGTCCTTTGGGATCCCCCAAACTCCATACATTAAATTATTCCCACATTTGAAGCCAAAATCTATAAAAAAAATGCACTCAGAATATTGAAAAATTGATAAATTTACCCCAAATTGCTTAACGCGATTTTATTTCTGGAACTATAAGTCCAAATGAGCTGAAATTTTCAGGGATTGTAGTCCTTCACTAGAATAAGAATCGCTGAAAATTTCAGCTTTCTATCTATAATAGAAAAAAAGTTATGGGTCTTCAAAGTTTTTGAAAATCCAAATCATAAGGTAGCTACCTTCTTACTAAAACGATGAAATTTCAAAATTTTGTTTGTTGAGATTTTGTGTCCTAATGGTCCTTTGGGATCCCCCAAACTCCATACATTAAATTATTCCCACATTTGAAGCCAAAATCTATAAAAAAATGCACTCAGAATATTGAAAAATTGATAAATTTACCCCAAATTGCTTAACGCGATTTTATTTCTGGAACTATAAGTCCAAATGAGCTGAAATTTTCAGGGATTGTAGTCCTTCACTAGAATAAGAATCGCTGAAAATTTCAGCTTTCTATCTATAATAGAAAAAAAGTTATGGGTCTTCAAAGTTTTTGAAAATCCAAATCATAAGGTAGCTACCTTCTTACTAAAACGATGAAATTTCAAAATTTTGTTTGTTGAGATTTTGTGTCCTAATGGTCCTTTGGGATCCCCCAAACTCCATACATTAAATTATTCCCACATTTGAAGCCAAAATCTATAAAAAAATGCACTCAGAATATTGAAAAATTGATAAATTTACCCCAAATTGCTTAACGCGATTTTATTTCTGGAACTATAAGTCCAAATGAGCTGAAATTTTCAGGGATTGTAGTCCTTCACTAGAATAAGAATCGCTGAAAATTTCAGCTTTCTATCTATAATAGAAAAAAAGTTATGGGTCTTCAAAGTTTTTGAAAATCCAAATCATAAGGTAGCTACCTTCTTACTAAAACGATGAAATTTCAAAATTTTGTTTGTTGAGATTTTGTGTCCTAATGGTCCTTTGGGATCCCCCAAACTCCATACATTAAATTATTCCCACATTTGAAGTCAAAATCTATAAAAAAATGCACTCAGAATATTGAAAAATTGATAAATTTACCCCAAGTTGCTTAACGCGATTTTATTTCTGGAACTATAAGTCCAAATGAGCTGAAATTTTCAGGGATTGTAGTCCTCCACTAGAGTAAGAATCGCTAAAAATTTCAGCTTTCTATCTATAATAGAAAAAAAGTTATGGGTCTTCAAAGTTTTTGAAAATCCAAATCATAAGGTAGCTACCTTCTTACTAAAACGATGAAATTTCAAAATTTTGTTTGTTGAGATTTTGTGTCCTAATGGTCCTTTGGGATCCCCCAAACTCCATACACTAAATTATTCTCAGATTTGAAGCCAAAATCTATAAAAAAAGGCACTCAGAATATTGAAAAATTGATAAATTTACCCCAAGTTGCTTAACGCGATTTTATTTCTGGAACTATAAGTCCAAATGAGCTGAAATTTTCAGGGATTGTAGTCCTCCACTAGAGTAAGAATCGCTGAAAATTTCAGCTTTCTATCTATAATAGAAAAAAAGTTATGGGTTTTCAAAGTTTTTGAAAATCCAAATCATAAGGTAACTACCTTCTTACTAAAACGATGAAATTTCAAAATTTTGTTTGTTGAGATTTTGTGTCCTAATGATCCTTTGGGAGCCCCCAAACTCCATACACTAAATTATTCTGAGATTTGAAGCCAAAATCTATAAAAAAAGGCACTCAGAATATTGAAAAATTGATAAATTTACCCCAAGTTGCTTAACGCGATTTTATTTCTGGAACTATAAGTCCAAATGAGCTGAAATTTTCAGGGATTGTAGTCCTCCACTAGAGTAAGAATCGCTGAAAATTTCAGCTTTCTATCTATAATAGAAAAAAAGTTATGGGTTTTCAAAGTTTTTGAAAATCCAAATCATAAGGTAACTACCTTCTTACTAAAACGATGAAATTTCAAAATTTTGTTTGTTGAGATTTTGTGTCCTAATGATCCTTTGGGAGCCCCCAAACTCCATACACTAAATTATTCTGAGATTTGAAGCCAAAATCTATAAAAAAAGGCACTCAGAATAGAGGTGGGCCAACCTGCGATTTTAATGGAGCTGTGACAAGACGTGACTGCTCCAGTCGTGTCACTGTGACAAATAGCAGTGATTTTTTGGAGCAGTTTCACCTTAGTTGGCGGCCGTACTGCTAATATAATGTTAATGCTACATCGCAAAATGGCATAATCGCAGTCCGCAGTCACGGCCGAGAGAGATGCTCCAGTTTCCAGCCTGCCCTCTGCAGTAGCAGTTTCGATTTGGCGTGACCGCGATGCGTTTTTTCATTTTATTATTCCATTTACATCACTTAGCTAGAGCTTTGTCCGCGCTGCATCGGTCGGAGCTTGAACTGGCAGTGACAAAATGTCACTGCTACTTGACTGGGACTGGAGACGGCCTGCTGTGACAGACGAGTAGCAGTGACAAAGTCACAGTTCGTGAAATCGCAACCCACCTCTAGATTGAAAAATTGATAAATTTACCCCAAATTGCTTAACGCGATTTTATTTCTGGAACTATAAGTCCAAATGAGGGATTGTAGTCCTCCACTGGTTTAAGAATCACTGAAAATTTCAGTTTTCTATTTATAATAGAAAAAAAGTTATGGGTCTCCAAAGTTTTTCAAAATTCAAATCATAAGGTAGCTAAGAACTTATTTATCTAATAACTATCAAATTTTGTCTATTCCTGGCGCTAGGCTTTTAAATTCATATCAAATAATGAAAATAGCCTGAAATTCTAAAATACGAGAATAATGAGAATTCAAAAAACTTAGAATAAAAAAATAAGCAAAAATCAAGAGCCTGGAATAGGAAAAATTATGAAAATTCAAGAATTTGTTGCTAATTATTATTCCATATCTCTTAGTTAAAATTTACTACTGTTTACTAGCTACCTAAAAATTGCTGAAACATCAAACAATCTTGAGAAAATTGCTTGATTTATTGTATAATAAATTTGTTTACTCAAACCCAAACTCCAGTACATTAGTACTGACCTAAGACTTAGGCATTGTTGCCTAGACAAAAATAAATTTACCCTAAAAACTAATTAACCTAATGAGATTTTTTACCTGAACCTCCACCAATACAATTATTATTGTAATCAAGATGCATTTTACCAAATTGGTTCTGTATAAATCCATTAAAAGTTAGTTATTGTTGCAAAAATTCAACTTGGCAACGTTGATTTATTATTGCACATGAATTGTTATCTACATTCTATTATCAACTGGCTTGTTGATTAAAAGTGTTAGTTGATGTCAGAGAATTTTTCAAAAAAAAAAAAAAAAATGCCATTTAACTTTTTGAAATTTGTTTATTTCCTTGCCATTTTCACTAAACTTGTGGGATTTTGTTTAAAAGCAGTGTTGCAACAAGGAATAAGAAGAAAGAAGTTTATTGATACTAATTGGTATGTTTTTGTAGTATTAAATAACATAGTAAATTTTTCTTTTAGATCAATTCTATTCAAATCACATCACCATGGTGTAAAAATCCCTTACCCAAGCAGCCATGGGTGTTCCTGCGGACGATACCTATCGTCCACCAAGGCTAGCTAAATGGCTGCACATGTTACCGCACGTCAATGCTACCTTTAAGGAAGTCGACAGTAGTTTTAACCCAAAATCGCACCCTTACAAAGAGGTACACTTTTTCAAATAAACCTTATTAGTATGCAGGAACTACTTCTTCCTGTCGGCACAATAGAATCGTTTCGTGTTATGAATAATAATTTTTTTTTCAGAGCTTGGCCATTCTAGCATCAGCCCCAGCTGCCTGGCTAATCTTTACTCTTTTTGTACTGCTTCTTTACCTACTGACAAGATGTTGCGACCGCAAACCTCGACATTCCAAATCGATATCAGCTTTAAAAGTTACCTTAGCCATTATGTCAGTTTTGTGCTGTGCTGCTGTAAGTATATAAACCTTTAGATATTCAATAATAGTTAAATGATCACGTTTTAGGTTGGATTGGGTCTTTATGGAAACGACGATCTTCACAACGGAGTAGTGCAAACTTTAAATCAAGCCAGACAAATCGATGGACTGGTAGGCAAAATCAGAAACCACACTGAAGCAATCGAAAGACAATTACGTGTACAAGCCGGTGCCGATTTTACGGCAATCAGGGCAATATTTGAAGAAGCTCCAGCTAACAATCTGACCATCTTAAAAGCGGCCGAGTTGCACTTGAAAAGACTGATGGCCAATAATACTTTAGCGGCGAACGCTGCCGCTGAAATCAGAAATCCGCTAATGGCTCTAGATATAATTCCTCAGATTCAGTTCGGCGAGAAAGTGGAAACTGTTCGGTGGCCGTTTACGATGACAATATTGAGCGTACTGTTGGTGTTGTGTGTAATTTTGCTGGTCGGAGTCGCTAGGCACAATCGGTGCGCTCTGATAGCGTTTTCTGTTTGCGGTCTTTTGGCTGTGATTGCTTCGTTTTTGTTAGCCAGCGTTTATTTAGGTAAGAATTTGCAATTTATTTCTACTAGAAACTAGAAAGTATCGTAATCAATCCTGAGAAACCTTGACTAACCCCATGCAATCCTCGAAAAAATTAAAACTATAACACATACTGAGCCTCTAAAAACCAACTTATCTAGAACAACTTATGAACAAGATCATCAATGTCTTAAGGTGCAATTAAATGGCTACCAAGGTCTTCAGACTTGATGCCATTAGATTAACAATGTCTGTACAGTACTGTAGACATCATTTTGCCATCAGATTTGGATTGAGAAATTGGAAGATAAAAATATGAAAGGAACTTTTCTTCTGAAAAATACTTAAAGCCATCACAGCAACTTGAAACTTCCAGGATTTATCAATTAGAGTTTTTTCATGATACAAAATAAGTTGGAAGTGTACATGTAATTCACAACTAAAGTTATGGATTCTTTTACTCATTGATACCTGAGAAAACAAGTTTTCAAAACCTCTCACAGATGTTGGAGGATAAGAGACAGAAATATCAACGATAACTTTGAAAGAATAAAGATAAAAAAGGTACTTTCAAAACCTCTCAGAGACGTTAAAAGTCTTAGGATCGTTTAGCGAAGATGTAAGTTGAGGTAGATTTCCTGATTCTCTTCAGATTGCTTATCTGATTTTTAAAATATGGTTCTTTGAAAATGACATTTGAGTGCAAATAAAAAAAAAACTGAAGAAACGATAGGTGGATAGGAAACCAACTGAAGCTACAGTGAGAAAAATCTCAATTTCCATTGATGAAAAGTGGTTCTGGTGCATTTACATTTTTTTAGCCTTTTAAACAAGCAGATCTCACCAACATCTTTGTATAATATTGAGTAATAGAATTTCATTATTTGCTCCAAGGGGTAAACCACCATCCCAGAATTGGTGCAAACAATTCCTCAAAGGGGAGTTTTTTACGCATAATTCCTCAAAATTACTGCAAATTCCTTCAGATACCCCATCATAAATTCCTCCAAATAGCCCACCACGAACTTCTCCAAATACCCCACAAATTCCTCTGAAAAAAGGGAAAATTTTGAAACTTTTTGCATGTAAAGAGAAAGGTGAGAAGATCATTTTCCCAAAATTTCAAATTTTTCCAGTAGAAAATTACAACATGAGGAATATTGGAAATCAACTTACAATAACTGAATTAATTAAAATACAGTCTCACATATTTCAGAGTTTTCTTGGAAAACTAATGAAGGAAAAATTTTGAAACTTTTTGCATGTAAAGAGGAAGGTGAGAAGCTCATTTTTCCAAAATTTCAAATTGTTTCAGTGGAAAATAACAACATGGTAAATCTTGAAAATCAACCTACACAAACTGAATTAGTTGAAAATACAGTCTCACACATTTCAAAGTTTTCCTAGAAAACTAGTAAAGGAAAAATTTTGAAACTTTTTGCATGTAAACAAGAAGGTGAGAAGCTCATTTTCCCAAAATTTCAATTTTTTTCAGTGGAAAACAACAACATGAAAAATCTTGGAAATCAACCTACAAAAACTGAATTAGTTGAAAATACAGTCTCACACATTTCAAAGTTTTCCTAGAGAACTAGTAATGGAAAAATTTTGAAACTTTTCGCGTATAGACAAGAAGGTGAGAAGCTCATTTTCCCAAAATTTCAAATTTTTTCAGTGGAAAATAACAACATGAGGAATATTGGAAATCAACTTACAATAACTGAATTAATTGAAAATACAGTCTCATATATTTCAAAGTTTTTCTGGAAAACTAGAGAAGGGAAAATTTTGAAACTTTTCGCATGTAAAGAGGAAGCTAAGAAGCTCATTTTCCCAAAATTTCAAATTTTTTCAGTAGACAACAGCAACATGAAAAATCTTGGAAATCAACTTACAAAAACTGAATTAGTTGAAAATTCAGTCTCACATATTTCAAAGTTTCCTGGAAAACTAGTAAAGGGAAAATTTTGAAACTATTTGCATGTAAAGAGGAACGTGAGAAGCTCATTTTCCCTTAATTTCAAATTTTTGCAGTGGAAAATAACAACATAAAGAATATTGGAAATCAACCTACAATAACTGAATTAATTGATAATACAGTCTCAGACATTTCAAAGTTTTCCTGGAAAACTAGTGACGGGAAAATTTTGAAACTTTTTGCATGTAAAGAGGAAGCTGGGAAGCTTATTTTCCCAAAATTTTAAATTTTTTCAGTAGAAAACAACAACATGAAAAATTTCGGAAATCAACCTACAAAAACTGAATTAGTTGAAAATATAGTCTCACACATTCCAAAATTTTCCTGGAAAACTAGTAAAGGGAAAATTTTGAAACTTTTTGCATGTAAAGAGGAAGGTGAGAAGCTCATTTTCCCAAAATTTCAACTTTTTTCAGTGGAAAATAACAACATGGAAAATCTTGAAAATCAGCCTACAAAAACTATATTCCGTATTCTTTTGAATTTTTTAAATTTGGATCTGTAAATCATGTAGTGTAATTTTGGGAGGATATCTTTAATAAAAATGAAAATCCAACGTCCAACACAAAACTAGATTTTTTTTAAAATTTAGATTTATTACTATTTCTTATAATAAGAATGTGACCTCAGTAATGTCATGACCCTACAATTTCCGTCAAATTCCCTACAAATTCGTTCAAATTCCGCATAAATTCCTTCAAATTCCCTATAACTTCCCCAAATTCTCATAAATTCCGATGAGTTCCTTCAAATTCCCCACAAATTCCTCTAAATTCCCCACATTTTCGGCAAATAATTCCTAGGTGGTATGCCCTTTGATTTGCTCTTACAGCTCCTAAACCTTAATTTCTATACAAATCCATTTTGATATTAAATCTTTAAACCCATCTATGACTACTATATTTTCTCGAATTGAAAAACTCTATTTAATTTATAATTTATCAGCTTCTAGTGTGGCATTGTCCGATTTATGCATAGCCCCGGAAAAATACATCGAAAACCAAGCGGAAGAAGACTTATCCAAAGAAATTTTGCGTCACTACTTAAACTGCGAAAGGGCCAGGGCCAATCCTTTCACGCAACGCCTGCGCGAAGCAAAAACTACTCTGGAAAATATGCGCATCGAATTGAGTTTACTTAAACCTTTGGCTTTTCAGTTGTTCCCCAAAAAAGGTACACTGAATTTCTGTCATTAATTTTTAATTATTTCAAATGTTGATTGTTTTTTTAGGCCTGGAACAAAAATTCAATTCTCTTAAAAACGAAATCATCACAGCAGACAATATAGGCACTCACCTGACTGCACTTGTTGATTGTAGAACGCTCTACACTCACTATTTACGGGGTGCCAGAGCGATTTGCAATGTTGGCCTTTTAGGACTCACCCTGATGCTCATCTCGGCTGTTTTATCCGGACTGATGATGACGATTTTGGTTTGGGTCGACTCACACACTTGGATTTATATTAGGAAGAAGTATGTTTTGCTTTATTTTATTAGAATTTATTATACTGGTGATTTTTTCTTGTAGGAAAGACTATCAACAAGTTAATGAAGCGGACCCATATTTGCCGCCCCCGGCCGCTAGTCAAGCCATAGCGGCGCGCACCCTTCAACGGAGCCAAGGGCAGTTTCCCGGTGCACCCCCAGATACCCCTCCGCCTAGTTATGCTCACGCCGCTCTTCTAAGGCCGCCTCCCGTGCATGCCGCCACCGCTCCCATGCATGAGGCCGATCTTTTACTGTACACACTTTTTTTTTTTTTTTAGTTTTTAGTAGTTGGGGCCAGAGATTATTATTTTTTCATTATTTTTCTCTGCATACTTCCATGCTTATCAATGTTTAGAGCTAGCAGTTGATATTATTTAAACGGGGGGGTTTTAAGTTGTAGGTGAAAGTGCAATATTTTTAAAAGAAATAATGCTTTTAAAATTGGAAAAGCATTATTTTTCCTTCCAACACGTTAACTAACCATAAGTTTCTTTGTACAGGGATGGTTGTGATACAAGATCTCAAGAACACCACAGAGCGGGAGCTGCTCACATGGCCCATTTGAGAGGTCACACCCTGGGACGTTTGCCCTCTCACCATCACCATCACGATCCCGCAGGCGGGCCCAACAACGGCAAATACGCCACTCTGAGCAAACAGTGCAAGACGCTAGAAAGTTCAGATTTTTACTGAGACAGGTAAGAATGACAGCCCTATTAAACATCCTCTAAAAATCACTTTTAGGTAAAATCGTTTCTAACTTTAAAAGCGATACTTTTGAGTCAAGACCTTATATAAATTTTTAAAAGAAGATGTTAGATCAGACTTGAGTTGTAATTGATCGCCTTAATATTAAAACTATTCTTATTTCAGGCATGCCTGCAAGGAATTCCCAAACTTTAAAAGTTTCAAGATCGACCAATCCCAACAGCCAGGTGGCAGCGAAGAGCAGCAACAACAGCCGATGAGCGACACCCAACGTACCGCCACGCTGGGCAGGTACTCGTCCCTGGGTAGACGTCCTTTGCCTCAGACGCCGGACGAGAAAGCCCGCGGCTGTAACAAACCCTCTATGCCCAAAGTACCCGCCACTATTTCTGGTACCATACCAGAGACCCCGGTGAACCCTAATAATTACAGGTATGTGTTTATGTATGTAAATATTAATAAATTTGTTGTTACATAAGGCTTTTGTCAGGATATTAGCAAAATTATTCTCACATACTTCTACATCCTTAATGTCAATATATTTTCCGTGTTGTTGAATTTTCGTTACTCTCGAGCATCGAAATTGCATTTAAATTGTCTTTTTTTAACGTTACACTTTCAAGTTTGCAAAATTCCGAAATTATTTTCAAATTCACTACTTCTTGTGCTGAAGCCATGTTTTAGCTGTAGACAAGGCTACACTAGTTTGTTTCTTGAAAAACCAGCTGATTGGATTCTCAGCATACAGTACTACTATTGGTAATTTAAAAGAAGTTTGCGGTATTAAACTAACACTATTCTATCAAAAACATACACCAGTGATTTGTGGTACCAGCTATAGTATTAGTTACAACATTCTGTAGACAAAAACAACTAAATTCACAATAATGGCAGGTAGGTAATCTGGATTAAAACATCTCCAACAGCCTCCCTCAATCCAGCATTACTTGAATAATGTCCATTCTAAACCTAAATTTTCAGATTCATTAGGTTTTCGTCTATGCAAACCTTTAGTGGAAATATATATGTTTGCATATAATTTAACTGAATATTACTATTCTTATCCCCATGCTTCTTTTGCTGTGCTTGTGGACCTGACATGAGGATATGCTGAAGGAAGAATCATGAGGCAAATTTTAGCTAAAGCCTTCTAGTTCCACCGTTATTGTTCTTTTTGCTTTGATTTATCTTCAACAGGAAAACCCTCTATATAGACGCCAAACATTTTCATGTATCAGAGCCATTTTCATGCCAAATTTCCCATTATTATAATTTTCTCGACCAGTAGTTTATCGAATCCTAAATTTTTGAAGACTACTCGCCATTCTTGATTTCAGCAAATAATTGAAAAATTAACAATGTACTAAATTTGCAACACTATTTACTCCTTGGGAATATAACATGTTAGAAAAGTGTTATTGGTGCTTTTTTTTTTGTCACCTTCAATACCTTGTAAGCTGGCCTGCTCTACACTGAGATTTATAGTGACCCATTCTGCCACACCCAAAACACTTAACTCTGTTTTTTGTAAATATTTTACCTGGAACTCTTTCTGAATACCTACTGTTGGCTTTGTGTCAGAACTTGATTTAATATTTTGCAATAACTCCAGTTTTATTGAATTCCCTGTAATTTGTGCTTCACTTCTGTCTAGACCCATAATTATTGGCCTGTATTCTTCCGGCAATTCTGCCAGCAAAAGAGTACCTACCCACTTCATTTTATTCAATGTCGAAACAATAGTGTCACAATATTCTTCTACTGACTTACAATCTTCTAACTTGGTAGTTACTAAAGCCCTCAAAAGACCAACGTTTCTGGTGAGTCCTGAATCTTTAAAAGCTTTTCCCAAGTTTTGAGATGCATCTTCAGCTTTTGCAGCCGTGTTTAAGTGAGAATAATTCCACTTATCCAAGGACAAGATTATATTCGAAACGACTTTCTTATATGTCTAACATAACAATATCCTAAGCTAACAAACTTCCAATATTGTGTGTATTAATAGATAATATTTCAATAAGAACTTTTGTTGAGAGTCCTAGAAATTGGCAATATTTATGTATCATATAACATCTACCTTATTTAAATCCAAAGGGTAAACTACCATTCCAAAATTGGTGCAAACAATTCCTCAAAGGTGAATTTTTTTTCGCATAATTCCTCAAAATTCCTCCAGATATCCCATCACATATTCCTCCAAATACCCCATCACGGACTTCTCCAAAGACCCCAAAAAATCCTCTGAAAAAAGGAACAATTTTGAAACTTTCTGCATGTAAAGAGGAAGGTGAGAAGATCATTTTTCCAAAATTTAAACGTTTTCCAGTGGAAAACAGCAACATGAAAAATCTTGGAAATCAACCTACAATAACTGAATTAATTGAAAATACAGTCTCACATATTTCAGAGTTTTTCTGGAAAACTAGTGAAAGGAAAATTTTGAAACTTTTTGCATGTAGAGAGGAACGTGAGACGCTCATTTTCCAAAAATTTCAAATTTTTCCATTAGAAGACAGCAACATGAAAAATTTTGGAAGTCAACCTACAAAAACTGAATTAGTTGAAAATACAGTCTCACACATTTCAAAGTTTTCCTGGAAAACTAGAGAAGGGAAAATTTTGAAACTTTTTGCATGTAAAGAGGAAAGTGAGAAGCTCATTTTCCCAAAATTTAAAAATTTTCCAGTGGAAAACAGAAACATGAAAAATCTGGGAAATCAACCTACACAAACTGAATTAGTTGAAAATACAGTTTCACACATTTCAAAGTTTTCCTTGAAAGAACATTTTAGAACTTGTTGCATGTAAAAAGGAAGGTAAGAACCTAATTTTTCCAAAATTTCAAATTTTTCTAGTGGAAAATAACAACATGAGGAATATTGGAAATCAACCTACAATAACTGAATTAATTGAAAATACAGTCTCACATATTTCAAAGTTTTCCTAGGGATAATTTTGAAACTTTTTTCATGTAAAGAGGAAGCTGAGAAGCTCATTATCCCAAAATTTCAAATTTTTCCAGTAGGAAACGGCAACATGAAAAATCTTGGAAATCAACCTACAAAAACTGAATTAATTGAAAATACAGTCTTAAACATTTCAAAGTTTTCCTGGAAAACTAGTGATGGGAAAATTTTGAAACTTTTTGCATGTAAAGACGAAGGTGAGAAGCTCATTTTCCCAGAATTTCAAATTTTTCCAGTAGAAAATTACATCAGGAATTTTGGAAATCAACCTACAAAAACTGAATTAGTTGAAAATACTGTCTCACGCATTTCAAAGTTTACCTGGAAAACTAGAGAAGGGAAAATTTTGAAGTTTTTTGCATGTAAAGAGGAAGCTGCGAAGCTCATTCTCCCAAAATTTCAAAATATTCCAGTGGAAAACAGCAACATGAAAAATCTTGAAAATCATCTTCCAAATACCCCACAAATTCCTCTAAAAAAAGAAAAAATTTTGAAACTTTCTGCATGTAAAGAGGAAGGTGAGAAGATCATTTTCCCCAAATTTAAAAGTTTTCCAGTGGAAAACAGCAACATGGAAAATTTGGAAATCAACCTACACAAACTGAATTAGTTGAAAATACAGTCTCCCACATTTCAAAGTTTTTCTGAAAAACTAGTGGTGGGAAAATTTTAAAACTTCTTGCATGTAAAGAGGAAGGTGAGAGGCTCATTTGTCCAAAATTTCAAATTTTTGTAGTGGAAAATAACAACATGAGGAATATTGGAAATCAAGCTACAATAACTGAATTAATTGAAAATACAGTCTCACATATTTCAAAGTTTTCCTGGAAAACTAGAGAAAGGAAAATTTTGAAACTTTTTGCATTCACAGAGGAAACTGGGAAGCTCATTATCCCAAAATTTCAAATTTTTCTAGTAGAAAACGGCAACATGAAAAATCTTGGGAATCAACCGATAAAAACTGAATTAGTTGAAAATACAGTCTCACACATTTCAAAGTTTACCTGGAAAACTAGAGAAGGGAAAATTTTGAAACTTTTTGCATGTAAAGCGGAAGCTGAGAAGCTCATTTTCCCAAAATTTCCAAATTTTCCAGTGGAAAACAGAAACATGAAAAATTTTGGAAATCAACCTACACAAATTGAATTAGTTGAAAATACAGTCTCCCACATTTCAAAGTTTTTCTGGAAAACTAGTGAAGGAAAAATTTTAAAACATTTTGCATGTAAAGAGGAAGTTGGGAAGCTTATTTTTCCAAAATTTCAATTTTTTTCATTAAAAAACGGCAACATGAGAAATCTTGGAAATCAACCTAGACAAACTGAATTAGTTGAAAATACAGTCTCACACATTCCAAAGTTAACCTGGAAAACTAGAGAAGGGAAAATTTTGAAACTTTTTGCATGTAAAGAGGAAGTTGGGAAGCTCATTTTCCCAAAATTCCAAAATTTTCCAGTGGAAAACAGCAACATGAAAAATCTTGGAAATCAACCTACACAAACTGAATTAGTTGAAAATACAGTCTCACACATTTCAAAGTTTTCCTAGAAAACTAGAAGAGGAAAAATTTTTAAACTTTTTGCATGTAAAGAGAAAGGTGAGAAGCTCATTTTCCCAAAATTTTAAATTTTTTCATTAGAAAATTACTACATGAGGAATCTTGGAAATCAACCTACAATAACTGAATTATTTGAAAATACAGTATCACATATTCAAAGTTTTCATGGAAAACTAGAGAAGGAAAAATTTTGAAACTTTTTGCATGTTAAGAGGAAGGTGAGAAGCTCATTTTCCCAAAATTTCAAATTTTTCCAGTGGAAAATAACAACATGAGAAATACTGGAAATCAGCCTACAATTACTGAATTAATTGAAAATACAGTCTCATATATTTCAAAGTTTTCTTAGAAAACTAGTGAAGGGAAAATTTTGAAACTTTTTGCATGCAAAGAGAAAGGTGAGAAGAACATTTTTTCAAAATTTCAAATTTTTCCAGTGAAAAACAGTAACATGAAAAATTTTGGAAATCAACTTAAAAAAACTGTATTCATTATTGTTTTGAATTTTTCAAATTTGACCATTTCCTTTAAATTCCTTATAAATTCCTCACAAATTCTCCCAAATTCCCCTTAAATTCCTCCAAATTCCCTATAAATTCCTCAAATTCTCATAAATTCGGATGAGTTCCTACAAATTCTCCACAAATTCCTCCTTATTTAAATCAAATGATTTGCAAGTTTTAAGAAAATTACAATTTTTCAGGTCTCTGCAAAGGGGTGCGTGGCAAGACTCCGTAAGCAGTTTCCAACCTGTAAACGCGCAATTTCGTTCTTTACAACGAGGAACCAATAACGGAGCTCACGGGCACTCGCACCAGTTCCGGTCCGTCAAAATCCAGGACCAAATGATGGGGCCCAACGAGGGGGCGTACGCCAATACCGAAAGCGAACGCCACTTGTACGCCGTCACTGAGCTGTAGGGCGTTGGTCGAGAATTTTTCCAAGTTTTTGTTTTATATTTGGGAAATGCAGGCATGCAATACAAATCAATAGTAAAATGGTTTTTGTTTTTACGAATTTTTTCCTCACAAACTAGTTTGTAAGATAATTTTTAGTTGACTTTGTATATTATTATTATTAGATGTTGATGTGGTTTTTTAGAAGCGAGGTTTTGTAGAATCAATGACTATAGGCAATCAATGTGTCTAGATTAAATAATAATTATTATTAAAGTGTGTAGCTTTGAGAATCTCAAAAGTGGTGCCAAACACTGACTGATACAACTCCATTCCATTTAATAGACCCAAAAAAAAAATACTATTGGCGCCCTTTTTATTTTAGGACAAAACAACGGGAACAATTATTAATGGAGCTAATATAACATACAATTTAATTGCTCATTTATTGCTCAAAGCAGCAACAGTAAATTTTTGATACATCACATTATTTTTGGGGCCTAAAGTATTTGCATTTGAATTATAATTTTGTATATTACTACTATTAAAACAAAAAAAGTTGGACAACTGCCAAAGACTAATAAAAAAAAAATGATTTGATGCTTCACGTGTGGATGTTTTTTTATATAAACTATTTAATAATTGTATAGGGTGGTTCATTAAATAAAATAAGGACCAGTTAAAAAAATATTATATTATAAGTATAGACTTCTTGTGAAGCGTTAATATTATTAATAATAATCTGGATACAAAATTTATTAGTGATTATTATTGACTCATTAATAATCAAAACTCTTAAGCAAAATTGTATATTTATAGTAGTTTATTTTGCTTTAATTCTCTTTTGTACATTTTTTATATATAGATATTATAAAAATAAGTTTGACTCTCATTAGTGTATTTATTTTCTTATTTTTTTTTTTTTCAAATTTTATGCATTCAATTGTATAGTAAAGTTTATGTAATAAAAAAAATACAAAATGTTTATTGTTTTATTCTCTATTGGTTTGTCCCAGGTCGTATCCCAGTCTTAGCAGGCCTTGTGATATTACGTTGAAGGACATATGGGCTCGTCCACTCGTTTCCATTCTAATCACTAAAAAAAAATGATAGTAAGTTGAAGTACAAAAAATGTCATTTATTCATTGGGTTGTAGAAATATCATACAAAATGTTTCAAAGGTGAAAGGTTACCACATTTCCAACTATTAAACCGTTTTTCAAATTTTCTATTCTTCAAAACTGATCTTTAAGAGAGCCAGAATTGGGATTTTCAGTCTTTTGTTAGTAAATTTCAGCTTAAAAATCAAGAGTTTGTAGTGGGGATTGGGATCTTCTACGTTCTATATAGTGTTTCTTCTACTGAACTAAGTTCTGAGTGTCTGAATTGCCAAGAAAACGGACATAGATGAAACTCTAATTTGTGTACCTACTTCCGTATCGTCTGCCTGTCTGAAATAAGAAAAGAGCAATTGCGAAAAGAAATTGATAAACTCTTAGCCGATTGAACTATAGAAGAGTGCGAGTCTCCTTGCTGCTCCTATGGTTCTTGTTTCAAAGAAAAAGAAAGATAGTAGCATCAGGTTGACTGTTGATTGCCGCAAGTTGAATGCGACAATGATAGCCGACAGATATCCCTTGCCTCGTATTGATGATATATTACATGCTGCAAAGAAAACTCGTTTTATGACAACTTTGGATTGGAGATGTTATCATCAAGTATCAGTCAAACCATCTGATGGAAACAAAACTGGTTTCATTTGTCCTTTTGGAACTTGATATACAAGAATGCCGTTTGGATTACGGAACGCTCCATCCACATTTCAAAGACTGATAAATTTTGTTCTTGTGATAACCGAGCTTGTGTGAATAAAAGCGAGATACTGTTTAAAGCGTTTAATAATTAATGTCACAGATAATATATAGAGTTATGCAATGATATGAATTAGGGCTTGGACGTTCGCGGAGAGGACCGTAGCGAGCGGCGGCATTAAAAGGTGCTTATCGTCACGTAGGTAACAGTAGACTGGCGGAGGTAGTCGTGGTGGTGGTTCTCGATGAAGCCGGATGTTTCGTCATGAGTTCCCTGTAGCGACCCCTGGTAGTGTACCTTGGTTCGTTTGGGGTCATGGGAGCTGACCACTTGGCAACCTGGCTAGAGGCTGACCCATCACACCTCCCTCTTTAAGCTGAAACTCATTTTCGTTAACATTACCTAATGACAATTCGTATTTATGTAAATACGATGCATTTCCACTGCTGTGCTGAACATTGCACTAGTGGTTGTGAGCAAACACTCGTTGCGTTTATTTGTCTCAGAATTGTACGACTTAGCGTCCTGATTGAACTTTATCACAACGACTGTTAGCTCTGTTTGAATGCTAAAGTGTTTCATGCCGTGGGATTATGTGACTCTGACATTACAAATGTGTTTCGTCTACAATGACTTTGATGTTTATTATTCCGCCAACAGCTGCGTCCATCTGAGTCTGAAATTAATTTATGCCTAATTCTACCATACATTATTCGTTAATCAAAGTCTAATATAAAATCTTTCAAATATGAATTCGTTTTTCTATTTCGCTTGGGCCTCATTTTGGTTGCGTCATCAATGTCCTTAGTGCTCGATTTTCTAAATTTATCCATTAAATTTTCGTCACTTACATTTGTTGGGTATATTGTCGCACTGTATTGTTTTTTTACAGCACCTGTCGCATTGTTCATGGGCCTAACACTAGGAGTATAAGTGTTTTCTAAATCTAAATGGGATGCACTGTCCAGGGTCACTGGAGCAGCGTTACAACTCACACTGGTTTCATTTTGGGACTGGTCCAATGGTGGTTCGGCTATGTTCTGTGAAATGATTATATTATTAGTATCATTTTCATGACTGGAATTGTTAGAAATATTAATATTGTCATTTTCAGAAGTATCATCATTATTAGGCTGAAAAGAATTGTTATTTTTATTGTTAGTAAAGTCAGCAATTTTGTTATTATTGTAATTTAAGGTGTTTTTCTGCCTTTCCAGTTCTCTCTCGCCTAAACCTTTCCCTTCCCCAGCCCTTATTTGGTTGGCATGTCTTTTCCAGACATTTCCTTCTTCGATTTTGCATTTGAAGGTCGTTTTTCCTATTTGTTTTTCGATTTTTGCACTTGTCCAGGTTTCTTTGTTGTTTCGGTAGTCTCTCACGAAGACAGCTTGGCCTTTCTCGAATAGCTTGCGTTTGACTCCCCCATAATTTCTCTTTTGAGCTTCTTGAGCTTTTAACATGTTTTCTTGAGCTTCTGAACACCATTTGTTCGTTTTTGTTGGACTTGTTTTGTTGTTCTCTTTTAGTAGTGTCAATCTGGAACGAAGTTCTCTTCCAAACGTTAGCAATGCTGGTGATTTTCCAGTTGTAGTATGTGGGGTTATTCTATAGTTGAATAAAAATCTTGATAAAAGATTTGTCATTTCGATGCCTCTGTTCTCCGGGTCTGACATGTATGTGTAAATTTTGTTTTTACAGGTTTTGACTGCGTTTTCTGCAAGTCCATTACTTTGACTGTTGTAAGGAGGGGTTGTAACATGTTTTATTCCGTTACTTGATAGAAAACTTTCGAATTCTTCTGAGGTGAATTGTGTTCCATTGTCAGATACCAAAGTCACTGGCAACCCGAATCTTGCAAAAGTCTGTCTCAAGAACTCATTTGTAGCCTTAGTTGTTGTAGTTTTAGTTATAAAGGCTTCTATCCATTTACTGTATGCGTCAATTATTATTAGGATATAGTTTTTACCTATTTGAAGATAATCGATATGGATTCGGCTAAATGGTTCTTTTTCTATGGGCCATGGTGTCAACTTTGTTTTCGGTGGTGCAGGCTTGTTGATCATGCATGAATGGCATGATTTCGCCACTTTTTCTATTTCTGCATCTAGCCCTGGCCAGTAAAATATTGATCTAGCTCTGTTTTTCATTTTGGATGCACCAAAGTGTCCTCCATTTACGTGAAGTTCTTGTAGTAACCTTTCTCGTAGTTTTTGGGGTATCACTAGCCTTAGCCCCCATAGAATTGTACCATTTTCTATAAAGAGTTCATTTCTACGATCAAAATATGGTTTTATTTCTTTATTTAAATTTTTGGGCCATTTGCCATGCTCAATATACTTTTTTACTTTACTTAGAGTGTTATCAATCTGGGTTTCTTTTTTAATATCCTCATTATTCAATGGCCATTCATTAATTTTATTAGTGAAATAAAGATAACTCACCATTTTGTCATCTTCTACCTCAATTTGTGAGGTTGTTTTTGGAAACCTTGACAAATAGTCTGCTACCGTGTTCAATTTGCCTTTGATGTATTGAATTTCATAGTCGAATCCAGATAGGTAAGCGGCCCATCGCTGCAGTCTGTTCTCATACATTTTAGGGATGCCTTTGTGTTTTCCAAAAATGGCACATAAGGGTTTGTGATCTGTCCGTAATGTCCATTTTCGACCTATAAGATAATGATGCAATCTTGTTACAGCATAGTAAATACTTAAAGCTTCTTTATGTATTGTTGACATCTTTTTCTCGCTCTGCAGCAGTGTTCTGGAGATAAAGCACACTGGTCTTTCGTCACCATTGGTCATTTTGTGTGAAAGTACTGCTGCTATACCATTGTCTGAAGCATCTGTGGTCAAAAATATAGGCAAGTTAGGATTAAAATGGGTTAATACAATGTCGGAGGCAATTAATTCTTTAATCCTTTTAAAAGTTCTTTTGCAATCAAGATCCCAATTAAATGTTACGTCCTTTTTTAATAATCTATACAGAGGGTACAAAGTCGATGACAAATTTGGTATAAATTTACCATAATATGATACCATACCGAGCAATGTCCGTACTTCTGATACATTGGTTGGTTCTGGAGCGTCCAGAATGGCTTTGACCTTGTCATCAGTTTTCATAAGACCATCCTTCGTGATTCTATGGCCTAAATACGTCACAGATGGCTGAAAAAATGAACATTTACTTAATTTTACCGTCAACCCTGCATTTTTAAGCTTGTTTAGGACTTTTTCTAATGTTTCCAGATGTTTTTCCCGACTGTTTCCCGTGATAATGATGTCGTCGATATATACAGCTACGTTTTCTACGCCCTGTAGAATTTGTTCGATGTACCGCTGGAATTTGCTACTAGCAGGTGCTATTCCAAATGGCATTCGGTTCATTTGCAGTAAGCCCTTGTGTGTCGACCATACTAAAAGTTTTTTAGCTTCATCATCCAACTCGAATTGATTGTATGCTTGACATAGATCCAGCTTCGTAAATTCCTCTCCATTATGTAATTTGGCGAATAAGTCTTCGGCCCTTGGTAAAGGATATACGTCTTCTTTCAAGTACTTATTGACAGTGGACTTATAGTCGGCGCAGATGCGTATTTTTCCGTCTGACTTGATTATGGGTACAAGGGGTGTCGCCCAGTCGCTGGTCTCTATTGGTGTCAAAATACCTTCGTCAATCATCTGGTTTAATTGCTCATCTAGGGGTTTTTGGTAGGCAAGGGGAACCGACCTAGGTCTGAGAAAAACTGGATTAGCTCTTTCATCTAGCTTTAACGAAATTTTGCTGTGTTTAAAATGCCCTAACTTATCAGTGAATACATCAGAATACCTCTCAGTCAATTTTTGAATTTCCTTGTTTACAGCTGAAATATTTAAACCATTATCTATTATATTTATCATTTTAATTTTTAAATTGAAAGCCCTTAGGAAATCTCTACCTAAAATGCACGGACCACCATTGGGTACCACATGAAATTTTATGTCCCTACAAACATTTAAATAAAATACATTTACAACAAAAAATCCCAACGGCGCAAAAACACAACCATTGTAGCTTCTAAGGATAGTATCATCTTTGTTTACATTATATTTATTTTCAAAACAATTTTTATAAATATTTTCGTTCATACAGCTGACAGAGCTACCTGAATCCAATAACATATTGAAATTTTGATTATTTATTTTAATGTTTACTCTAAAGTCATTGTCTTTATCACTGTTACTTAATACATTGAACAAAGGTCTATCATTTACTTCATTGTTTACATAATCGTTTGCGCCTGATGGGTTTGAATCTACTGCTACGTACCTCAGGTCTTCTTTATCTTCTTCATCCATGTAATTTACCTGTTTTCTTCGGCATACCTTCGCCAGATGACCTCTTTTTCCGCATTTGTCGCAACCATGATTTCTAAACTTGCATAAACCACGGTGTTTGTTTCCACAAATCTTGCAACCAGCGTGATAACTGTCATCTTGATGTCGGTTGTCGTTTCTGTTCCTTCTGTCAGTTCTGTCACCATCAACGTCATTCCCATTCGCCCTACTGAAGTTTCTATTTTGACCGCTGCGCATGCGATGTTGCGATTGGCTTCCTCCTCCTCGGTTTGCGCCATGGCCATGATTGCGCGGTTTTTTAAGGAAAAGGATGTCGGATGGAAAATGGCGGACATTTGCACTCTCACGTTGCGCTGAAATTTCTTTTAGCCTCTCCAACGTCTGGTCTTCTTTTTCTTCGCATAAACGTTCGAAAATCGGCCCCATGATCAATCCGCTAATGAATTTGTCTTTCAGAATGCTGCTCAGGTTGGCATCAAACCTACAATTGGCACTTAAACTTTGAATTTTAACATACCAGTCAGCTATGGATTCATGAGCGTCTTGTTTGGCCTCGTAAAATCGTCGTCGTTCTTTCCAAACATTTGCCTTGGGACAGCAATGCTCTCTAAGCAACTTACATAGTTCTTCATATTTTTTTTCTTTAGGCAGCGACGGAAAGCAAAGGTTTCTGAGCAATTTATAGGTTTGGGTGCCCAGAACACTGATTAAATTGGCAGTTTTGCTTTCATTCTCCTTTATGTTAGAAGCTGCTAGGTATTGCTCTAATCTTTCCTCGTACAGGATCCAGTCGTCGGATTCCACGTTGAATTCGGCAAACTTTATACTTGACGACGCCATTTTGCAATTTTTTTTTTACGCGAATTTTTTTTTCCGTTTACCTCGTCGCCATATGTGATAACCGAGCTTGTGTGAATAAAAGCGAGATACTGTTTAAAGCGTTTAATAATTAATGTCACAGATAATATATAGAGTTATGCAATGATATGAATTAGGGCTTGGACGTTCGCGGAGAGGACCATAGCGAGCGGCGGCATTAAAAGGTGCTTATCGTCACGTAGGTAACAGTAGACTGGCGGAGGTAGTCGTGGTGGTGGTTCTCGATGAAGCCGGATGTTTCGTCATGAGTTCCCTGTAGCGACCCCTGGTAGTGTACCTTGGTTCGTTTGGGGTCATGGGAGCTGACCACTTGGCAACCTGGCTAGAGGCTGACCCATCACAGTTCTGGACTTCCAGATATTACCATTAAAGCGCACCTCGATTGTGTAATTATTTTATCAAACTCATTTGAGCTTCATGTTAGTAATTTGCAAAAAGTTTTTGATCGCTATTATTGAAACTTCAATTAATTCAATTTTCTTGTTCTTCTTGTCAATAACTTCTTCTGCTATTGCTCCAAAACTCAGATAAAGTTTCTGCTATTTCTAAAATACCAAATCCTTGAAATGTCAAAGAACTACTTACTTTTTTACAAACTTGTTCCTGGCTTCGACATTTTATAAAAAACTTTTCTCACTAAAAAGAAAGTCAAATGGATCTGGGGCTCAGATCAAGTCAAGGCTTTTGAAAATCTGAAATCGCTTTTAACGTCTAGCCCTTTTCTTCAGCAAGCTGACCCTAATAAACCATATACATATTCTCAAGACGGATGTCTCTAGCTATGAAAGACCTATAGAATACGCCAATTGATTATTAACACGACTGAGCAAAATTGCAGTACAACAGAGTGAGGAGCCCTAGCAGTCGTTTGGTCTGTGACTGATAAATTTAGAATATGCTAATATTATCGTCAAAAGTGATCATCAGCCCTTGAAATGGCTTATGACACTTAAATCACCTTTGCGGACAGATTAACAAGATGGTCTTTATTAGCTTTGCAATCTTTTGATTTATGTATTGAATATAATCCTCTGGAAAAGATAATGTTGTTGCTGATATGTTATCACACCCTGCAATTCCTGCAGCAGAAGCCAATCTTTGTTATTGTCGATTTACTTAGACAACAAGCAAATTAGATCAGACGTCAACAACGTTCTAATGTTGATTTTAAAAGATGGACTGAGTGATGAGGCTACATCACTGTGGCGTAGGTACTATATACGATGTCCCTGAATTAGATGAAGATGAAACTCAACAAGTAGTACCGAAATCCCAAGTTCCTCAATCAAATCCTTGCCAAGTACCACGATTCTCCATTAGCTGGCCATTATGGTGTAGAACGTACTTATCAAAGAATTGCAAGTCGTTTCTTTGCCTGGAATGAGAAGAACCATATATCTGATTATGTTAGTGAATGGGTAGACTGCCAACGTTATAAGCTGCAAATCTTAAACTTGCAGGACAAATACAGACTCCTATTCAAAGACAGCGTTTTGAAACTACATATATCTCTATTGATTTATTTGGTCCATTACCTAAAGCGCACATTTACTACAAATTGATTTTTATAGTAGAAGATACTACAAGTAGATGGATAGAACAGAGGATAGGACTTTTTCCATTGACGGCAACGTCCGCTGAAAATTGTGCTCGTTGCCTAATATACATGAAGTTATATTAAGATATGGCATTCCCAGACATGTTATAAGTGATAATGGTTCTCAGTTTGTAAGTGCAATAATGCAACAAGTTGCATCTTGTCTAGGATTTGACCAAATTTTAATTCCCATATACCTACCACCTAGAAGCTAACCCTACAGAACCAAAAAATCGAAATCTAAAACCTCAGAGCTTTCCATACTTGTTGGTAATGACCAAAGAAAATGAAAAGAAAAACATCCAGCAGTCGGTTTTTCTATGAACACAGTGTATTTCGAAGCTACAGGTTATTCCGCTGCTTACCTCACTTTTGGAAGAGAGTTAAAAACCCCTGATGATGTATATAGAGATCTTATAAGCAATGTGGAAAATGACAATTTTGTGTGTGAAATAACTCCTTACCTGAAATCTTTACCTACCATTCTTCGTCAAGCCAGAGATGGTACATGAAAATCAACAAGATAAATCTAAGAAATATGCTGACAAGAACAGAAGAGAAGCACCTACATTCCAGTGGGGTGAAAAAGTTCTTTTTCATGTAAATAAGTTGTTCCAAAAAAAGTGGGCCCATATCAAATTAGTAAAATGGTATCCCCAAGTAGGTACCTATTTATGAGATTGCATCATTGGATGTTTCACAAAAAGTACTCGGAAAATATGATGTGTCAGCGAAATCGATATCATGCACACAGGGGCGGATGGGCCAGCAGGGATTTCGGGAAGTTTCCCGAAGGGCCGCTTACTTCCGGGCCGGTTCAAGCATATATGGAAAAATAAAATCCTTCATCTTTAAAAACTATTTTTTATCAAGGAATTCAGTCATACTCTTTTACTGAGAAATAAAATAATATTTGAGGCATTTTTCTGCTAGCCCCTAGTGATGACTCAAGGTAAGCGCGCATTTTTACGTATCGGTCGCAACGAACGCATTAATTCTCTGCTACTTCTAGGCCCGGCCTTAATGTTAATCTAGGTGGCGCTCAGCGCCGATTTTACCTACAGTGGCTAAATAAACCTTTACATACAGTGGCGACAATAGAGGTCCCGCCGCCATCTTGTTCCCAACCTCTTGTTACTTTTAAATATTAATATATAGGATTTAAATGAACATCTATCATAAAAAATTGAAATTGGACGTATTTGATGACCATTATCAGGTCCATCAAAAACGTGTTTTCCATGATTTATGATAGATGTTCACCTAAATCCCATATATTCACATTTAAAAGTAACAAGAGGTTGGGAACAAGATGGCGGCGTTTTCAATATAAATATATGGGATTTTAGAACCAATCAAAAATGAGACAGCAATTGTCGCCACTGTGGGTAATAGAGTCACTGTAATTTTACCTACAGTGACTCTATTACCCACAGTGACGACAATTGCTGTCTCATTTTTGATTGGTTCTAAAAACCCACATATTTATATTGAAAACGCCGTCATCTTGTTTCCACCTATTGCTTATTTCAAATATGAATATATGGGATTAAGGTGAACATCTATCATAAAACATGGAAAACAACGTATTTGATGGACCTGATAATAGTCATCAAATATGTCGATTTCAATTTTTTATGAAATATGTCTATTTGAATCCTATAAATTCATATGTCAAAGTAACAAGAGTTTGGGAACAAAATGGCGGCGGGGCCTCTATTGTCGCCACTGTATGTAAAGGTTTATTTAGCCACTCTGTAGTTTTACCCTGTACGTAGCTATGGGATTCCCAACTCCAGGTAGAGTCCATACCCAACTTAATGTCATGTTACTGATGAACATCCGTTAAAAGAGTATAATAGATAATAGATACGAGATGGTCAGCTACCCAGACAGCACACAAAGACTTAAAGACGTTTTTTTTTTAGGTCTACATTACGTCTGAACGTCTGAAGACCAAAAAAAGACGCTTAGAAAACGTTGTTTTGAAGATGCCCATAAGATGTCAATAATTCATATCTTAATGACAACTATTTGGTACATAACCTAAAAGTGAATAATGGTTTATGTATTGAAAAGAGAATCCAAGACGTCTTTAAGACATCTCGTTGAAGAAGTTTAGAATGTCTTAGTCCTAAAGGCGTCTTTAGGCAGATCTCTAAAAGACGCTGGGTTTCGTAACATTACGACGTCTTCAAAATTTTTTTGAGACGCCTTAAAGACCTAAGCAACACGTCTTGAATGTCGTTTGTGGACATCTTATAGGGACGTCTTTAAGATGTCTAGAAAAATTTCCCACAGAATTCGTGTTTCTTTCTCATTCAATTTAGAAGTTACTAGAAACCATTTAAAATGCTACAGAACACTTTAGAACTTTGATAGGTGTTTTGGAAAGTTCAAAAGACTTAAAATTCAATTCAGAATTTCCAAAACCATTTTGTAGAGCTTCAGAAAATTTCGGAATTTTCAGAACTATTCAAGAATGCCCCAAAACTGTTATTCAGTTCAGTTCAGAGTTATTTTGAAACAATTTCAAAGCTCTAAATTGAATCCTTATTTAGAACTGGAAACCTATTAGAACTTTTTTGAACCAATTTAGAACACTTTAGAGCTTCAATAGGGCTCTAAAATACTTAAAAATCTGTCACAACAATTTAGAAATTACTGCAAAACTTCTAGAATGCTCCAGAATTCTTCAAGATTCAAGATTCAATAAGCTTTATTGTCGAAAAAATACAATTTTTTTATAGACAAAGCAGAATAAATTTAGCAGTACAAAAAATAAAATAAAATACAACAATAATAACTAATGAAAAAAAATTGTCTATTTTTTATTATAATAAAAAATTGCCCAATTAAGGCCATACATTAGAGGTCTTTAGAACGTTCCAAAACACTTTCCAGCAGCTTTTTTTTCAATTTGGACAAAAAAAGTAAAAAGATACTTGTTTGAGATTTTTTCTTCATAATTTCAATGTTAGTCGTGAGTACCTATTCATATTACGTATATCACCCCATCATTTGCCATTAGATAGGTACCTACTTGAGAAACTTAGTTTTAGAAAAATACATAAAATGGTTTTAAAATACTGATCTGGCAGGCCAGGCCGGTGCCACCGGTTTCCCGGGCCGGTTTTATGCTCCCCATTCGCCCCTGCATGCACATTCGTTTTCTTGGCAATTCAGACACTCAGAAAGATAGTTCAATAGGAGGAACACTTTAGAACGTAATAGTTTCCAATCGCCACTTCCCCACTACACTTTTTCAATAGAATTTCAGCTTTAAGAGTCGCTCTAATTTATCTTTAACTCTAAAATAATCAGAAATCAGACTGAGGTCCATAAACCTAGCAGTCCCAAGGTGGAGAAAAACTTCGAGAACTATATAATAATTAGGTGCTTTTTAGGTGCTAATTAGGGCCTCTAATTAAAAATTAGGTGCTCCTCTAGTTTTTGAGAAAATCAAAAAAAACTAAGGGACTGCTAGGTTTATAAAAGCTAACAGTCCCCATTAATAGTAAAAAATATTTTTTCAAATTTTTTCTTTGTATCAGAATTAGGTGCTTTTTAGGTGCTCCTAAAAAGTACAAGAAAAAACACAATTGATTAATTATTAACTGAGTTACAGATTTTTTTTTAATTATTAGGGGACTGCTGCCTTTACGTTTACATGTGTGTGTGTGAGAATGGAAAAAAAACTTCGGGATCGTTATAATAATTAGGTGCTTTTTAGGTGCTAATCAGGGCCTCTAATTAAAAATTAGGCGCTCCTTTAGTTTTTGAGAAAATCAAAAAAAAAACTATGCACTGAGAAAATTTTTTCATTGTCATAGCTACTACCGCCGAAAAGATAACTTTACTGGCACCGTTTATTTGCGGTAGCAAAGTGACTATAAAGAATTTACTCACAGTTTCTACAAGGTCACTTTGCTGGCATAGAAAAGCTACTTTGCTGTCGTAGGAAAGTAATTATGCTGTCCTAGAAAAGAGGTTATACATCCTTTTTTGC